GAGCTTGCAAAGCAGCCAGAGATTCATGTGCAACATGTGAATCCCATCCCTAGGGCGAAACCCAAATCTGGGAGTAGGAGAGGGATTTCCTTGCTAGAAACATCCCAGTGTTACCCTGGGGACTGAAAAAGAAAAGAAGACCACACACCATCCTCTTTCCAGGCAGAGTTTAGTTGAATTTTAAACAGCCTCACTCAAATCTCCCCCCCCATGACAGCAAATGTCACTTGTAAAGTATGTAATTTGTGCCTGCAGGCTTGTGTCACCCAGGTCACATGCAGACGTGCTCTCCCTGCTGTTTCTCTCTCTGATTTGAAAAGATGCAGTTTTGGCGTTGCTTGGCATCCCAATGAGGCACCTGCAGAGCTGGGGTCTCACTGTAGAATGTGTGGGCTGGTGGGCCTTGAGGAGGTATGAATGTCCCATGGTGGTCACCTCTGCATGGTTCCCTGACTATGGCTCAGGGCACTACCGGCACTGCATGTCTGCATCGTCCCAGTCACCAGCTGTTAGAGGCTCTTTGCCCACAGGGTCTGCTGAGGGAGAGATTTCTTGCTTCTTGGGCAGATATCCTCGCTTTTGGCCTTGGCCTCATATTCTTCCTGGCTGATAGACTGCTTCTTGCTCCCTCAGCATTGCTGCATTTGCAACACAGATGGTGCTCGCAGCACCCTGCTTTCCCAGCCTGACCTTGCAGCCGTCTCATTTCCTCTAAGTAGAAAGCTAACACTGTGGGTTGTTCTGCATCCTACCAACTCAACCCGTGATGCTCACTGTGCGGTGCAGTCCTGTAAATGCCCTGATTCATCTCATCTCAGCATTCAGCAAGTGCTTCTGCTGTTGGAATTACAAAAAAATGCAAAAAAAAACCCCAAAAAACAAAAACCCCAAACTCCACAACCCAAATCGTACCATAAGCTATTTTGTCTTTTCTGATAGTGAAACCTTGGTGGGGTTAAACAACTTCACAGCACCATCCAACCAAATGAGCTTTAAACAAGTGCTTCATCATTTTAGGAACCGAAACTTGAGCTCCTCCAGTGTGCCAGCCCAGCAGATGCCTTCTGAAGCTTGTTTGTAAACTAAGCAGGCGCATGGCTCTCCTGGAGGTCAGGGAGACATGCCTGTGAAAGTGCTCTGATGAATGAGTCATGAGCCACTTGTGGCCCTCAGCCCTGGATGATCCTATGAGGCAATTCAGTTACTTACTGTATGGATGAAAGGCACTGTAATAGTCTCTAAACACTTCTGCCAGGGTTAAGGCCCCATTTACCAATCAAAAATAATGGAACTTTACACCTTTTAGAAAGCATTTCAAGATCTGCTCGTGATAAGTGCCTTAGAGAAGCTATTATTATCTATTTGAATGGCAGAAATGTGTCCATTCCTAGTAGTAGATGAATGCCACTAGACACCTTACAATCCCATCAGCCAAACAGCGGCAGAAAGGGAGTATCCCTGCCTTCCTAGCCATACAATGTGCATCTGAGGGAGGTTAAGTGACTCAGGCAAGGCTACACAGCAATATGTGGGACTGATTTTAGGTCCACACTGCTTGAGGCTGTGCATTCAGTAGAGATCAGGTTAGTGGAGCAAAGCAGTCCTTACAGAGAAGGGTCCTGGTCCCTCCTGGTCTCCATGCAGAGCTATGGTTATGCTGGACAGTAAGCCCATGGAGAGTGAGCTCCCTCCTGTATTCCTCATAACAATATTTTATTGCTTCTTCAGAGGACTCATAAGCACAGCTATTGAACCTCTGCTGGGACACAGCACATTCATGTAAATCACAGTATCACAGTATGCTAGAGATTGGAAGGGACCTCAAAAGATCATCTAGTCCAATCCCCCTGCCGGAGCAGGAGCACCTAGATAATGTTACACAGGAATGTGTCCAGGCGGGTTTTGAATGTCTCCAGGGAAGGAGACTCCACAACCTCCCTGGGCAGCCTGTTCCAGTGTTCTGTCACCCTCACTGAGAAGAAGTTTCTTCTCAAGTTTAAGTGGAACCTCTTGTGTTCCAGTTTGTACCCAAAATACCTGGGACAGAGAGAAAGTTTCCTCTAAAATATTTTTGGGGGTCTGAAAACTGGGTTTTTCTATACCCTCATCTTTTAGGTGAAATATATGCTTTGAACTTCTGTTGGAAAAGGAAGAAAATATTTCAGTTTGAAAGCCTGAAACTGGGCGAGGGACACTGGACTTGCCCAGCCAGATAGTGTGTGAACAGAGTAAGAACTGGGTCCCCATCAGATCTAACACCTATCCTTAGTTAGACATGCTTTAATCTGTGGTAATTAAGTAAATTAGAGTTCAGTGAAGGTGCTCAGCACCTTGGTGAGTCATCTCCTTGGTGGCTCCACTGTCATTGCCAGTCTGAGGATTTGAGGAGAGGAGCACAGGAGGAGCAGATGCTCCTGTGTACAGTTCTCGGAGGCAGCTCCGAGGCGAGCTAGCGGAGCAGTCTGGAAAAGCTTGTCTTGTGAAAGGGTTGGTCAGAGATCTGGAGAGAACCTTAATTTTCAGACACATCAACTTCATGTTTTCTCTGAAGGGCAATGGAAGCAAGTTTCATGTCCCAGGGCTGTGCTCTGCAGTCCCATTGCTGAACTCGGGTTCACTGAACCTTGCAAATTCCCTGATGTGTCTGCTCCTGCTCCCACTGGAGACCTTTGGCACTGCTCAGTTGAGAACAGATCTAGATTTGTAAAGAGAAACCAAGATGGTTTTTTTGGGGGGAGGAAGTATTTTTCCTGGAGAACTATTTTTTCCAAGTAATTTGTGTTGCTGAGGCCCTTCTGTAATAACAGACCTATGAGCTAAGCAGGGATCCACTTTGCAGTGCTTTTTTTGTCTTCCTCTTTTACCTCACCTTGTGCCACAGAACTGCTCCTCAGTGGGTTCCATTAATAAACAAATACTTCCTTTGTTCCCTCCTTCAAGCCAACCCAAGGGAATGAGATAGCACTTTTAACAAGTCATTATTAAAGTGATGGTAAATATGAACCCTTGATGGAGAGCTGTGGTGCAGGAACAGCTTGCCCATTTTTCTTAGAGCTATGGAGACGTGAGTGTCATTAATAAAACATCTTGTTATATGGGTTTTAATTATTTTTCTCATCTGAGTTAAGATTGTTACCTCTGCTTACATGAAAAAATCAGATAACTTGATGAAGGCTCTTGTAATAAGCATTGTTGGAGCCATCATCTGCCAGAATATCTTTGTAATTAATGGTTTGTTTAAATTCCAGTGCATAAGTGTCTTTGCATTCTCAACTCTGACTGTTGCTTAGATCCTAATGGGACTTTTGTGGGGAAAACAGGAGGACAGTGGGTGTTTAATTCATCAAGAAGGCTCATCAGCCAGGTGTGCTTTAGTGGTGTCATGTCCCAGTGGTGCTACTTTGAGAATGGCTGTCATCATACAGGAAAACAGCACCTCTTTGCTGGGCATATGGGCTGGTATTTTCTAGCAGTTCACAGTGCCTAACACTCACACATGGATTTATGAACTGGGATAAATGCTTTATAAGGTAAGATCAGTTGGATATTTTCTCTTGGCTCCTCCAAGCTCTGAGCACCATCTTGTGTGATGGCACAAGGTGTCTGTACAGGAAGGACCAGAACATCTAATACTACTAAATCTTTACTGGACTGGCTGGCTCTCAGCTCTCAAGCCAGCTAGGTCTGGGCCTCAAACCACTGCGCTCATTGGGCTCTTTCCCCTCTAGAGAGTGACATGAAAAGTCCTTTCTCTGTGTCCTCACTGTAGCCCTGCAGCTTATTTGCACTGCTGTCACCTGGCTTTATTGTGAGACCTGAAATACCTGGTCCATGTGTCCCCACCCCCAAACTCAGTGCTGCTTCTGATGCTTAGTGAAGTAGATCAGTGCAGACATCAAAAAGGGCTTCTGAACCTTGTAAATATGGAAGAAATTTTGAAAACATGATCCAGGCACAGCTCTGAAATTCTCAGAAAACACAAAGTATCTTTTTAAAAAAACAGCACCAAAAATTATTGTGTCATGTATCTCAGTAGATGCGAATTCTGAGGAGACAAAGTGACTAAGGGGTCTGCTCACACTGCTTTGAAGCCAATGGGGTCATGGCATTAGCTTTGTTGGGACTGTCACTTTGCAAGCAGTGAAGCATTTAGTAAAATTGCAATTTGACAAATCCTAAAGTACAGAGCTAATTTCAGCGACATCCCTCTGAGATTGGTAGATAAGTGCACATCCTCAGTGAAGAGGTTAACACTCTCAGAGCCCGTCAGTGGAACAAAGAATAAAAACATCACTGAAAACATCACTTGCTTCATGCCTTGAGAATAAACAGTGAGAAATTCCTCATTGGAGGGTGTCTGTGCCACAGGAGGCAATGACTAGAGCTGGGATCTCAAACAGTAAATGAGAGTTTTTCATACCTCAATGACTTTATGACCTATAATAGCTTTCATGGCTCTCTGCTGTAATTGGATCTCATGCTTTGGGACAGAAAGCATCGTGGCAATGGGAAGGAATCTGTCCTCCATGCACCACAGATTCCCACAGGTGACAAAGAACAAGGTGTATCGTGTAAAACTGTCCTCTGCAACACCCATTACCAATGCCTGCTGGTATAATTTTTCAGCCAAAATGTTGAGTAGTTGCTAATTACAAGATGACAAGTGAGCGGCTCCTAATTGTATTGTTGATTATTTTTGGACAGCCCCCTGTTACTGTGGTGACAGCCTAGAAGGAGAGAGTGTGCAATATTAGGTGCCTTTGGGCACTTTAATTCGTGGAAACGTGCTGTGTTCTCAGCTCCCCTGGCATCAGCTGGAAAGGTTGCTGCCTTCCAGCTGCGGCACTGAGCCGGTGAAGCAGCACAAAATGATTGCAGCGGTGATAGGGAAAAGGCAGAGCAGTCCCCTGAGCCAATGGTGATCATGGGTGAGGATGGAGGTTTGCAAAATATCTGACTTGTCAGAGCTGCTTTAACCAGCTTCTTGTGGATGTTCGCAGGGAAACTGGAGCTCCAGTCGTGCTGGGATAATGGGAACCCACAGAGTTTCTCACTTTCCAAGGTCTTGTCCTTTGACAGATCATCAGGCAAGAATCCCTTTGTAAGTTAACATGGGTGGGAGTCAGCCTGCAGAATAAGGCCTATATTTAGCTACTTTTGTGTCAATGTCTTAATGTGAGCCAGCTGCCTAAGCCTCCATCTACAGGAGAAACTCAGTTGCCTCAACTTGGTGCCTGTAACTGAATCTTGGACCTTTAGGTTGGACTGGAGGGTCTGGAGAGCAGTGAAGACACCTGATGCAAGGCAAACCTGAGCAGCATGGCTTGAAACCATGCTGGTTTCTGCCAAAATGGTGAGTGAGGAATGGCAGCATCTCTTTCCTTCTGAGCACCATGGCTTTTCTCTTGTGTTAACTGTCATCCCCCTCCTTTTTCTGCAAGCCCTGTAATTCAAAAATAGAAAAAGGAGAAGAATGAAACAAACCAACTGCTTAAAAAGCCCTATAAGAAAAAGGGAACCTAAGATATAATTATGCCTCTTGGATGATATTTTCCCCTGATAATACTGGAAAAATACTAAACATGATCATGTGATGTTCTAGTGTGCAAGTATCTGTAGCAGGTCTCCCTCTTGCTTGCTCTTGCCGTCCCTCTCTGTTTTGCTGTTTCAGGAACTGCCCGCAGTTAATGTAGATAAACCTAGAGACAGCTCAGATGTGAACTTGCAGCACTGCCATTCTCTGATTTAAGGATCAGTCCATAAAACCCACAGAACACACAGTCACAGTATGTGACCCAAGAAAAAAAAATACATTTGGAGCCTTCTTTCCACCATAATTTGGGTCTTTGGCTTATTTCTTTGTACCTTTGAAGGAACGGAGGAATAAAGGGATGTTGGGCCAGCCCTGCTCCCATCACAGCCCTTTTTCCCTATGAAGGCAGGCAAGTGCTAGGAGCTCACTGAGCAAGACAGGGGCAGTTCCCCAGTGGGCTGGTGGATGAATGCAAGCAGTGGCACCAACGCACCAAACTGGGGGCTCAATTCAGGGGAGAGTGTGTCATGGTTTAAGTGAGGTCTAAGAGAATATAAGTGCCAGAGGCTTTTGCAGCTCAGCCTCACATGAGCCAACAAATAATCCCCTCCTGGCTACTTTTGCTCCTGCTCTTGTTCCCTGCCTGATCAAGACCTGCTGCTAATTGTGCTGTTAGAGCTCTGCAGGAAATTCCTGCTGCCTTCATATGGAGGCTTCTCCTGACACACTCCTGGGGTTAGAGGATCCTGGGCTTCATTTATTCCCTGCTTTCAGGCATAGGTCCAAATGAGAACCTGCACTTTCCCTTTCTCGTCTCCCCTGAGGTTTGCAGTAGCTGAATTCAAAACCCTGCAGCAGATCACCATGTTTTGCACTAATTTAACATGAAGCTTCAGGTACTTGAACATTTCTGCAGTCTTTGAGTACAAAAGTGGCCTTTTTTTGCCTCCATCCACTGTTATCCAAACACTGTTCCAAAAAATCCGAGGAATGAACTATGTTGCTTATTTCTTTCTGGCACATTTCATGTTTTTAGGAGCAGTTTTTTCCACCATGTTGCAGGAAGGCTTACTGCTGAGCATGGTCCTTAGCAGGCTGCTGGAACCCCAGGCTGGATTTAATGCTTGTGGGAAAACCTGAAAGCAGATCTGTGTCCCAAAACCCGGAGTCTGAGTGTGGGATATTTGCACATCTCAGCGCTGGGGACTTGGTCACAGCTCTGATGGTGCCCTGTGGAGTGAGACCTCGGAAAAGTAGGCTCGAGCCCTCCACATGGGGTAAATTACCCCATAAGCATGTAGTGTATATATAAAGCTGTATTTTGTTAAAAACTCACATCTATCATGGCACTACTTAGGTAGCATTTTCTTTCAGATAACTCTTAACTGGTCAGAAAAAGGGATTAAGAAAGAGCAGACCTTTCACCAGATGGGCTCTAGTTCAGTGAAAATTTAGAGCTGAAAAAAAAATGGAGATGCCAATAAAAAATTACAAAAATAAGTATTTTCATCTTTTTAAAATTGTTCTTTTTTTTTTTTACTTGCTATTTTGAGAAGGTGCTTTAAGTCAGCCAGAGTCTTCTTTCCAGCTGCAAAGGTGTTGTCCTAAATTCAACCTCCCATGAAAATTCAAGTTGCCTTGTCCTCATCAGGGTTTTAAATTGAATTAGTTAACTGAATTAGGAATGCTTTTCTGCGTTTGGTAGAGACTGATAAGCCTGCAGATGCAGAGAAGCATGGGTTTGATTCAAGCTGCCGCCTGGACCTGCACGTGGAATCAGTTAACCATGTGCAGGAGAGCTTTCCTGAGCTGGACCTATATTTCCTGCACAAATGATGCTTGTGACAAATACCTGGTGTCATTGATATTCCATTAGTTTCCTTCACTGAAAGATCAGACAGCTTTAAAAAGCCCATAAATTCCCACAGATTGTCTCTGAAAGGGAGAAAAAAAAAGATTCCTTGGCAGGCCACACACCATTAAGCCCAAGAAGTGAGCAGTGTTTTATCGTTAGCAGAGCTGAGGTCACTACTTTTGGATGGGTGCAATTAAGATTCACTGAAGCTACCCAAAACCACTGCTTGTTCAGGTGCTGGGATGAAGACACCTTGTTCAGACAGCAGTAGCGTCTGCTCAGAGAAGTGACTTTCTGCAGAGCTGCAGTTCCAGGCTATGCTGACCCTGGGAACATACGCAAGTATTTAGTGATACTAAATAGCACGGATCCCACTTTAAAAAGAAAAGCTTTATGAAGATCCAAGGAAATGCCTTTAAGCCAGAACATCTGCTTGCCTTGTAGACTAGAGGCCATTTTTAAAAGGGGTTTTGGAGCGGTGTTAAACTTCTGCAGCTGACAACATGAGCACCTTGTGGTCACCACATCTCTGTCACTTGAGAAAATGCCTCAAGCTATGTGGCTTTCTTCTTTTGTCTGCAGATGATCAATATCTGTGGCATGAAATCGCAGCAGCTTCCTCATTGCCCTGTGGGCTCAGGAAATCTGGGCTCTGTCAGTTTTTGGGTGCCATTTCCTGATGTTTGAGTGTCCTTACATCCATCTATCTGTTGAAGTGGTTTCCCCGAAGCTTGCTCTGCATGTAATCCTTCAGCAAGCCCTTTGTTCCCACTGTTCTGCTTATGGCTGCAAAATTGTGTTATTTGTGCAGATAGATCTTTCAGCCATTTGCACCCAGATTTTGAATTTCAAGAAGCCACAGTTTTGGTTTGGTTTTGTTTTTTTAATATCATTTGGTGCAAGTAAGCGGTCTTTTCAGCTAAATACAAGAATAAATGAATATGCAGATTTTTTTTTTCTGAAGGTCTCAAGCAGAAATGCTTGCTTTGATGAATGACTCATTCCCTTTGTTATAGTAGCATTGTTGAAGCTCTGGTGTTTTCAGGCTCTGAGCAAGGCAAGGTTGGGAGGAGGAGTTACTGTCTTTTATTAGACTAGATGATAACAGTTGGGAAAAATCAGGCAAGATTTCAGGCACGAGATCCTTTTCTTCAGGTTTGGAGCTGCTTTTCCTGCCTTTTAGCTGACTACAAGTGAGGAACAGCCACTGTGATATTTGATGGAATCAACAGTCAGCACAGTTATCCTCATCTTTTCCTTCTGACCCGAAAAAGGGTCCTGGAGCTCTCTACCAGTGTCATCCTCAATTCAACCTCATGCTGAAACTCCGTATCATTAAATGATAGCAGCCCCTTTGAACATACTTCCTGACATATCTGTTTAGCTTCCGGTTGCTCTTTTATACCTGATAAAGAAAAGAAATTGAAGACAGTTAATGGCACTTTTGCCTTCTTCCTCCTCATGTTCAGATGAAATCTCAACATTCAGGTAATTCCAGTCCCATACAACAGTTGCACAGGAGAAAAGGGAGGGGGCAGAGGAGGCAATTGGTAAAACTTTCCAAAATAACTGGAGAAAAAAAAAAAAAAATCCCAAAATTGACAAACCTCTGAAATGGGGAGGCTCCATTTCAGAGCATAACCTGAGGCCAGAAAACTTTTCCACTTGCTCCAGCCCTGATGCAAGCTGGACCTGGAGAAGGGATGGCAGGATGAGACCCCCAGCTCAGAGTGGCTTGGAGGTAGGCTGCTCCAGTGCCAGTAGGAAGCCACAACATCCAGCTCCTGTCGTGACACTCTTGCTAACATGAGGCTTTGGCTGATGCTGCCTCCAGGCAAGGTCCTGCCTGTGATGGATCCAGGGGGAGATCACCAAGGGGAACCTCAAGTTTGCACAGGCAAGTTTACCCCGTGTTTATCAGGTGAGATTTCTGCTCTGGGCCAAGGCAAGTCCTGCACACACTCCAGCCTGTTTATTTCAGCCTGGCTGGGTGCAGGAAATCTTTCCTCCTCCTCTCCCACTGCCTCTGACTCAGAAAATGTTTGAAAATCCTAGGTTTCTGCCATCTCCTGCCTCTCCCCCTCTGGGTAACGGAAGGCTGAAGGAGAAGCAAACAAAGGCGTCCTTATGCTCGGGAAGGTTGATGAGTCGAGGAGCAGTGACTCCTCCTCTCCTCCTGCTGCCCTCCCGGGGATCTGGCCTCCCCATTGTCTGCAGCAACCCCGGGCATGTTAAAGGCTTCTTTGGTGTGGCTTTCACATCCAAGCAAGGGCTGGGGCTGATAGAGAGAGGCTGTTGATATTAATTATCCGAGTTGTGGTGCGTGCTTGAGTCCTTTGCTGTGCCTGTGGTTCCTTGTGTTCACTGCTGTGTGCTGATGGGCGAGGAGGTTATGAAGGTGGGGGAAAAGGCACAGCAGGTATCTTGTTACTCTACCCGTGAGCATTGGTGTGCTCTTGCCTGTCCTAAAATTGCAAGTTTGTTGGAGCCAGAGTTTCCCTTTCTTATGTCTGTGTAGCAGCAGGTACTGCAGGACCCTGCTCCATGCCCAGGGAATATCATTTTAATAGAAACAGTCCCATTTTACGGCTGTCAATCTGAGGGACAGGGGATGGCAGTGATGTGTTCCCACAGCCCATTGGAAAAGCAGGGACCAGACCTGCATAGTTCAAGTCTGGATCTACCACTCTGGCTGCGGTGCCCAGCCTTGTGCAATCACCAGTTGAGGGGCTGGAAGGAAAGGGAGGTGGGCTGGTGTGATGGAGCTGGGCTGCTTGCTAAACACCACCCTGCAAACAGCAGCCAAGATGTTCTCCAGCTGGAGCTGGTCACAGCAGTGTACAGTTACGGGAGCAGTGACATGAAATAGTGAGGAAATAAACACTGCACCTCGACAGGATGAGACTTATTTCAATAAAGAGAAGGACAAGTCAGGCTCTGCACAGGGCCTCCTTTTATCTGCCTCTCAGAACTCCACAAGCAAAAATCGATCTCTTGCTATTCTGCATTAGTTTGGTTTTTTAAAATGATGGCTAAGATGCATGCAGAACTGCCTTGCTGCTCCTGCTACAGCACTGGGGTGACGTAAGAACAGAGTCTCTAGGTAGTCACTGGGAATGTTCAGGTTGGCCTGCGGGTAAATGAGGGGAAGCATTTCCTAAAGACCTGTTGGGGAGGTGTCTGAAAGTGTTTTTAAGCCCATGACCTTGTCAGTTGAGCTTCCGAACCCTGTGGTGACCAACAAACCTTCATCCCCTTGTGGTGTCCTCACCTTCTTTATATAAACTCAAGCCCCAGGCAAAGGCAGTCAGCCAAGCAAATACACACAAATTCCTTCCTTTCCTCCTTCCACCCTCCGCCCTGCTCAATGCACAGGCCCGACATGGGGGCTTGGAAAGAAAGGTCAGGACCATTTGGTGTCCTCTTTCTTTGGCTAGTGAAAGAGTGTCTCTGCTGTGCAGCCTTCTAAATATAACCTACACTTGCAGAATGGCTCAGCTCTCCACCATGTACAGGAATAAAACGGATGGGAAAGGTCTCCAGCAAGGGAGATGTCCAAAAGAGGTGCCACGTGGTGCGCTGCTTCTCTAGGAAAAACACACATATGCTTCCTCCTCCGAGCATCCCTTGTGCTAAGAGAGGTGTTGAAAGGGAAGGAGAGACCTCGGAAAGCCTCTGTTGGCTGCCTGCATGGGTCTTACCTGGGAGTGCAGATCCCCTGGAGGGGCTGGTGGCCAGATGAGGGGACCCCTGCTGTGAGCCCCTGTGAGTGGGCTGGCAGAGGGGACCAAGGGATGCTGGCATGGTGTTTGTGAGCGGGCATGGTGCCACCCTGCCAGATGGCTGCAGTGGGGATATGTAGCAGGCAGAGTGCCGGCACATGCAGAGGGGCTGCGGGTGGCCATGGTTTTGGGGAGACCATCCCTCCTGTGAGAGGACTGTGGGCTGCTTAGGGTTGTAACAGCTCCTGCACCATGTAGCTAACGGGTAAGGAGCACTGCTTATAGGGATGAGGATATGGGAAATAATCCTCTGGGAATAGGTCTATATGCTAGAGGAAGCCCCTAAGAGAAGACATTGAGGGAGATTTTAGGGCTTCATGTAGCAGCTTCAGGACCCTGAGGGGTGCAGCAGCACAGAGCAGGCTGCAGAGGTAGCCTAAGCATCAACATGTTGGGCTTTGGTGGGGATATCCCATCATCAGTGCTGGCTAGTATAAACCAGTACACTTAAGTGTTCACCCTCATCTCTTTTTCCCCCCCCTTTGGTTTACCAAGCAAATACGTCCTATGACAGCTCTTCTGTGATGTCGAGTACTGAATCCAGCTTGATGTTCTATGAAAGACATTCATTTCTTACTTGACTTTTCCCAGGCAATCCTGTATCAATCAGTTAATTCCTTATCTAAGCATACCCACGAAGTGTGGCAAAGTTAGCAAAGACAGAAGAAAAATATGCCTGGAAAACCTGGAGTTACTCTGGTTTACCCCGGGTTTCAAAATCAGGGGAGTATTTCTATCATGCTTATAGAAAGCTTGGAAGATTTCCTCCTGAATGCTGCATTCAGGTCTCCTGGGTACAGGGAGGGGAGTGTGCAGAAGAGATCTGTGAGGAAGATCAGTGGAATGGAGAGTCATCCCTTAGAGAAGGAATTGGATCCTTCGGGTGTTTTAGATGGATTTCAGTCATTACATGAGTGGTATTACATTTTACAGCTGCTTAAAACAGCTGATTGTGAGATTTGGGAAATCACTGGCCATATATTCTGTTCTGTAATCTGGAATTAATCTGGCTAATTGCCTATAGCTCTGTGATTGCATGTCTTCAAAAAGACAGACGGCCTTATAGTATTTCTTGACTGAGGTCTGGGTGAGGGAAAATACTATGAACAGTAACCAATCTCTGACAAGACAGAGCAAGTGATGGTGGCAATGGATAAAGTACAGGTCAATCTGATTTCCTTTAACATGCCATTTGTGAGAAGAAGGGGGTATGTGTGTGTGTGAGCCACCTGACATTGTCCAGGAAATCATTGTATTAACCATCCCCTCTTCTTTCAACAGGAAAGAGTGTAAAATGTGCCCAGGGTCCTTCCATGCACAGCAGGGATTATACATCCCCAGTGCTGCTTAAGCAGAGTGCAGAAACTGTGGAAGTGGATGTCAGGAACATGGCACAGAGCTTGGATGTGTGTGTCCCACATAGCGATGGCTCTGTGGACGTGTGTACTCGCAGCCTGAGGAAAACTTCTTTATGGGAGTGGAAACTAAGAGCTCTCTGCTCAGTTGCTCCAACAGAAAGCCCTGGGCAACTGCTGTGCTGTAGATCAAAGCTGGGTGAAAGCACAGCATCAGAGGCAGCTCTGGTGCTTACACTGGAGGACAATTCATCCAGCCTGGCTGAGCTGGAAAAGAATGAGAAATGAAAGACTTGGTGGTAACCTGGGAAGGCTGTTGTTTCCCCAGGAAAAGGATTCACCTGAAAACCTTCTTGTCCTCCTGTTTCCTACCTGAATCACAGGGAAAAACACCATGCTGGGAGTCATGATTTCAGTGCTAGTCCCAGCTCTGTGCTTGTTCCAATTCTGGTCTGCCTTTCACTGTCTCCTCTCTGTTACATGGGGATAATCATGCTTACAAAGCATTGCTAAGTTCTTCAACAAGCATTTGACAAACAATGAATGCTCTTATTAAATGTGAGGTTTGGATTTACTTGGATGACATCCTAATCAACATCCATCTCCCGGATCACCCTGATGTGAGCAAACCATTCTTCAGGCTGTGAAACAGCATCTGTGGTGGTCATGGAACAATCCATGTACCACTTCCAATTAAGTGATCCAATTTTGTGACCAAAGTGATGGTAATCACTTTGGTCACAAGCAAAGAAGGATCTCAAAGGCTGATCTGGGCCTCTTTGCTCTTTAGCCTCTACGTGCTGCTAGAAACCTGTTTGTGTTGTGCTCTTCAGAGAGGGAAAAGCTGGCCAAGGGAAGCAATATAAAATCTGCATCTGGAGGTTCATTTTGCAGGGAGCTGCAGGGACTTTCACACACGTATAGCAACTTATTAATAATAAACAGAGGGTTGCTGCTTCCAAGTCAGGGAAATTCAGAGGATGAGCAAAGAGGGACTGCAGGAGCACATGAGAACGTCAGCATAGTACCTGGAACCTCATGAATCCCAGAAGGAGAGGATGGGGAATTGCCTGCCCCAGATTCAGGAGAGCCAGCCCAGAAATCAGAGCCAACAAGGGCTGTTATTGCTGGCAGCTGTAATGAAATTAAAGAGATGCTTCACTATCCATCATCAGGTGTGTCAGTTTTCAACACTTTAAGGCTGGAAGTTAAAACCTTTCTCGGCTGCATTTCCAGCCACTGGCTTTCAATTTTCGGGCACAAGGAAGTATATTACATAGGAGGCATTGCAGGT